GTCGGGGCACCATGAATTGATGCATCGGACCCAATGTTGCCATCACCAGCCCCGCGTTGGTGCGGAGGTGGGACCATTTAACCCGGTGGTAACCCAAGTCCTCCCTTGGTCCGTGTACCATGCATTGAAGTATTGGACCCATTTTTGCAATCACCGGTTACGCTAACGCATATAAACGGAGAAATAGTGTGGCTCTGCAGTTGCTCCATGACCTCCGAGAGACTAATCCCATCATTGGAATGGCTACATCATTGGATATAGACAATGAGGAGGAATACCCGGTGCACCTTCCACCCTTCTCCCCACATACCGAGTGTGACGAAGAGGACTGCAGGCAGGTGATGCTGGAAAATGTGGCATTGAGGGCTCAGAAGGATGCCCACATTGATGAGGTAAAGACCCTGCGCTCCAGGCTGAAAAAGGGGCTAAAACCCAGGAAGCAGAGTGCCACTGCTGCTGTGCTTGAGGAAGAGGAAGAATGTATACAATTTAAGGGCCTGGCAATCTCAAGTACCTCCGGCATAAACACAGTATTCTCTGGCAGCAATACTCCTCTCAAGACCCCGGTCAAGACTGTCATGCATTCACCAGAAGCCTCCGGCAGCAATACCCCTCTCAAGACCCGGGTCAAGACTGTCATGCATTCACCAGAAGCCTCCGGCAGCAATACCCCTCTCAAGACCCCGGTCAAGACTGTCATGCATTCACCAGAAGCCTCCGGCAGCAATACCCCTCTCAAGACCCCTCTCAAGACCCCGGTCAAGACTGTCATGCGGTCCCCAGAAGCCTCCGGTAGTGAGACCCCTCTCAAGACCCCTGTCAAGACTGTCATGCGGTCCCCAGAAGCCTCCGGTAGTGAGACCCCTCTCAAGACCCCGGTCAAGACTGTCATGCGGTCCCCAGAAGCCTCCGGTAGTGAGACCCCTCTCAAGACCCCGGTAAAGACTGTCATGCGGTCCCAAGAAGCATCCGGTAGTGAGACCCCTCTCAAGACCCCGGTCAAGACTGTCATGCGGTCCCCAGAAGCCTCCGGTAGTGAGACCCCTGTATGCCAGAAGACCCGTGCGTCTGTCTACAATAAGCTGAAAGCTAATCTGGGTAAGGACTGGCCCTCTCCCCCAAATCACTGGTCCACTGGGAAGGGACGGGGGAATATCATACGTGAAATCACGTTGCCTAAAAGCATGGAGACGTACATTCAGACATACAGGGATCATTGTGAGGGTGTCGCACCGACAGTAAAACGGAAAAAAAATTGTCTGTCCAAGGTCAGCCGGATAAAGAACTTCCTCGTATTCATGGCGCATGGTGTTAACCGGCTGTCAGACTGGCTGTTCCAAAAAGACACGAAGAGGGTCCGTGGGTGGAGCGAGTATATTTCAAAGTCGGGCCGGGCAGTCACAACATCGCTGTTGTTCCTGAAGAATGTGAACCATTTCCTGAGGTACTTGTCTGAGTCAAAGCTCCGGGGGTGCAGGCTCACCCAGTCTGATATGACCCACATCATCAGAGAGGTGACAGCCAACATGAACGACTTGAAAAAGTCCGTCACTGTCCACCAGTTTAAGGTGAAGAGGAACAAGCTGGATCGTCTGCCGAGCCAGGTGGAGCTTCTCTCCGCCATGGCGGGCGCTGAGAAGCGCATCCCTGATCTCCTTGACCTGATGGCTAGCAATCCGACCTCAATCACCCAGTACCTGCTATATGGCTATCTATCCCTCCATTGGAGCCTCCTGTATGGCCACCGTCCGGGTGTGTACGCAAACATGACCAACACTGAGATCTTGGAGGCGGACAGAAGGGGCACTGCTGAGGGCTACATCATCCACGTGCAGGATACAAGACTGCCAAGACATTTGGCGAAGCACAGCTGGTGCTTACAGTAAAGGAGTTTAGCTGGATCATGCGGTGGATGGGGATAAAAGAGGGCTTGTCGGGTCCTCAGAATGAATTCTTCCTTTTCACAACGGGGACGTACGCCTCCAAGAACCTGAACGCTGACTTGAAGAGGGCTTGGGCTGATGCTGGGCTAGTAACAGCCATCACCTTCACAATCCTGCGCACTGCCCTGGCTGACAATATCAAGCATCACCAAGATCCAGAAAGCAGGTCGATTCTCGCCAGGTTTATGTGTCACGACGTAAGCACTGCAGACCGGTTCTACGCGAATACGCCTGGAATAAAGGAGGGATTGAAGATCCGCTCCATGTTCAGGGCGGCAGCAGCTGCAGCAGCATCATCAGAAGGAGGTCTACCGCCGTCAGATACCGCCGAAGAGGGCTCAGGGGCTGAGAGCAGTGATACCTCTTCTTCAGGGCCGGTTGATACTCCTGAGGAGGGGGCAGGGGTCGTGGACTCAACCTGTTTTCCCCGGTGCACCGTACAAGTTAGATGGCTAATATGGTCCCCGGGCCCCCGCTAATCATGTTTTTATTATGTATATTATGTATATTATGTATACTGTGTATACTGTTTTTGTAAAAATCATGTGATAATTAAATAAATAATAAAACATGAATATAACCTTGAAGGTTCCCAGGGGCAGATACAGGGCCAGGTATCAGACTATTTAAACAATGTTTACCCAGGATTCAGACACCTTCCCTGGCTTGTAAAATGCGGTGATGCGCCCTGGAGGTATCAGACTATTTTAAACAACTTTCCCCCGCCTTTCAAACACTTATTCCTGGGTCATTATTCACGATATAATTTAACATTGACCCTCTCCTGAAAATGCACATATTTTGTGCATTTCCAGGAGAAGTTCAATGTTAAATGATATTATTATTATTATTATTATTATTATTATTATTATTATTATTATCCTGTCCTGGATGTGTGAAATAACCTGAGTCCCCATTTCAGGGACACATGCTGGAGGTCTCTAGTCCGTCCTTCGGGGCTCTGTGAGCCGGCAAAGAGAGGGGATTTACCCGTCGTCTCTCCTGGAAGTGTGAAATAAAGTCCCCATTTCAGGGACACATGCTGGAGGTAATTATTCCGTCCTTTGGGGGTCTTGGAGGTGCCACAGAGAGGTGATTTCCCCGGTCTCTGTCCTGGATGTGTGCAATAACCTGAGTCCCCATTTCAGGGACACATGCTGGAGGTCTCTCTCCCGAGAGTGGACGTCCATTGCCTCTAAATAGGGGTAAAATTAGGTCTGTCACTTTGGGTAACCGCACCACTGTCGGACGTCTCCCGAGAGTGGACGTCCATTGTCTCTAAATAGGGGTAGGGAATTATCTCCAGTGGGGCGCCTTGACTCATGCTTCCACCCTTATACAAGTCCTAAATCGGTGCCTGAAGACCGTCCAAGAGCTATAACTAGCTTATCCTCTTGCGACACCACTACTCTATTCTAGTGGCGCTATGCCCCCCCGATCAGGAGCGCATAGACTTTTTTCCGCTACCCTTTCTCTCCAACAACAGCACAGTTAACTGTAGTCCTACACGACCAGCCTATACACTCACCATCAAGTTCATCACAACGATGAAACACAGTTTAGTTCTACACTTGCTTGCCACTGCCCACCCGTGATCAATTAGCCTATAATTGAATGTATGCACCCCGGACCGGCACCAGCTCCTCCAGCAATGTAGGGAACTGTGAGTTCCTCCAGCAATGTAGGGAACTGTGGCGCATCGAGTGATGCACGCACCTCGCGCTGCCCCGGCCTTGCCAGCAATGTAGAAGACGGTCACAAACAACGAGTGCTTTTAGACCATCTCGTTTTTAATAGAGACGGTGGTGGTGTGAGTTAAAGCTATAGACAAAAAGCTGTGACTTTCTTCCTCTCAGCTGCACTTCTCCAGCCACACAGATATGGGGAGGTATTTACACACACACCCGCGGCTGCTGCTGGAGCCGTGTTCACAGAGGCGATAGCGGTAATATCTCTGGCTGCTTATTTTTAACTGCTGTTTGGCCGCTGAAACCCCCAGAATTCGGCGATTCGTTCAATACAAATCTTTACATTGCTTTCATACAGAAGTTCCACTTTACTGATGCCTTTCTTTAAGGTTTCTCTAAACATGAGCTGTGTATGCTTGTATGGCACTTTCGTCCTGAGCAGCACACACAGAGAAAATCAGCCAGGACAGAGTCCCCAGACACGGATCCCCTGGGTTTATTATCCACAAATGTTCATTAACCAAAAACGAAACACAGCCGCTCAGTTTCACAGGTAATTTTAGGATACCGTCAATCACAGATTCTGGTAAGGCAATGTCCAAATGTGGATTTTTGAAATTACACTTACCAGTTCTGAAGATTTGTTGGTATCCCGCCGACAACGTCGGTTTGTAAGGGAAACTTCTGCAGCAATGGAGAGTCAGGACTCAGAGAGACATGAGGAGAGTTGGAGCTTTGATGTCAAACACTGATGGTTTATTACGAGTATCGGCCGGAGAATTCACATCACAAGTCACAGCAGCCAGAGGTTCTGACTGCACGGGAGGGTTGCTACATCAATTCTGCAGCGCCTCTCTCTCGCTAGACCTTTTAACTAGTTCACAGAGAGTAATCAACATATTGGGGGAGATAACGTAAACATCTGGGAATACTGGAGATAGCCCCAACATCTGGAGACACTGAATCACTTGTCTGACCCTCAGGCTCGAAGCCAGCGTTCTCATAATCATAAACCATTTGTGACCGAGAGTTGCCCGGTCATAAACTGGGAATATCAACATATAGCTGAGGCCTCCCATTCCTTAAGAGAGATAACAGACGTCAGGGTTGGTCATAAACGTCAAAGGGCAAACAGTTTAGATACCTAGGAGTAAGGGAGAATTATTCTCTAACCGCATGTTTAAAACTGAGTCATTTGGTCACTTTTGGGTGTGCTGTAAGAAGTCTTGACAATCACAAAAACATATTTAGGGGTCAACAAACTGAGTTTCTGAGTGGGCCTGGGGCTGTGGGACATCTGAGAGGAGGGGCATTAATGTGTCCTGTGATGTTCTTGTTGTGATGAGCATGTTGTTGTGTTTGTGTGAAGGTGGAGGCTCTGCTATGGATCAGTGTGAGGACAGAGAGGAGGGAGTCCCCCCCCTCTCTGTGTGGGGAACATGACAGCCAGACCAAAGCTCAGAGGTGAGATCTCCAACTGTCCATGACTCTTCTCCATGTCACAGCTCAGCACTCATTATTCACTCAAAGCTCTGTGTTGTGTTCCAGACCAGAACAAACAACACACTCTGCTGGACCTGGACCTGGACCTGAACCTGGACCTGAACCTGGACCTTTGAAAAACAAAGAAAGTATTTTTTTGCATAAACCCATGTTATTTCAGATGTAAGATTATATAATATTTTGTGTTGGTATCTTTTGGATCTCTGCAGGGAGAAAATATGGCGACACTGAAAAATATCCTCTTCAGAACTTTAGAACAATTGGGGAAAGAGGACTTTGAAGAATTCAAGTGGCACCTGCAGCAGGAGGTCCTAGGATTTGAAGGAATCCCAAAGAGTCGACTAGAGGATGCATGTCGGACGCAAACTGTGGACCACATGTTTCTGAACTACGGCATTAACACTATTAAAGTGACCAGAAACGTTTTGAAGGAGATTAATCAGAATCTTCTGGAGGAGAAATTATCAAAAATTCCATCAGAACCGACAGGTAGGTCATTAGTTAAAAAGGAGTGTTACAAACAGGAAACCTGAGGTCAGGTAAATCACAATGATAACATGGATTGGATGTGTCCTCCTGATATACCACACAGAGAAACACCACCTGTACATGGTGTCAGGGTTCAGGTTCCCCCACGACCCTGAAAGCTCAGTGTTCAGGGTCAATAGTTTCTGGCAGGGTCACTTTTTAGATCAGCTAGTTTGAAAAAAAGCAACCCTATCAGGCAGACCAGGTCCTCATCCTGCAGCCAGGCACTGGGGTCTACACACCACTGGGTCTAAGGGTCTAATCAATGCCAGTTGGGTTGTAGATGAAGAGGGACATGGTATGCAAACTTCAAACAACCATCACCTCTCTGCTGGGGACGGATCCGGTGTTGGTGTGGGAGGTGGAGCAGGACCAACTAGAGCCAATTAGAGGGACAGACAAGTAAAGCAATTTCCACACGCCAAGGTCCGTAACAGCTAATACACTGTTTCTATACGGACCACTATTGCGGTAAGCATGTTGTAACTTCCGGTTGTTGTTGGCACCTCCGGGTATCCCGTGTGCCTGTTCTGTTGCTGATAGCTTATTATCTTAACTTAATCGATCGTTTTAAAACTCTTGATCAC